GAGAGAGCGGAGGGGGCGGCCGGGTGTAGCGGGGTGGAGGCGCGCAGCCCCCGGCGGGGGTCCTCCGGATTTTTGTAGCCCGGTAACCCCAAGGAAGCCTTGCAGAGTCTCTTTGCAGCCTCCCTTGAAGAAGACAAATGTGCGGGAGGGGCATTCAGTCTCACTGCAGCTCCCCACCCGCCCCCGAGCACGGTCCGGATCTGGCCCTGGGATGCAAAGCGGGTGGTGGGCCCGAGGGGAGGCTGGTTAGTTCCAAATTACCGAGATGCCCATCCTGCCCTTCCACCCTTCCTGCCCCGGGGCATGAGGGGGCTCACTTTGACAGTCAGCCGCCAAGCCAAGGGGTCAGAAGGGGGAAGCCCCCCTCTGCTTTGAGGCCCTCGGGGGCGTTTTGCTTCCAGCTACTGAGGAACCAGTCCCCTTCCAGCATCCAAGGGCATGCCAGCTGCGCCACACCCTGCCCACAGGCTCCCCGGCAGCTTCCACGGTGGGTGCCCATTGCAGGTGCGGGAGCCGCGACTGCTCCTAAGCCATCATGGAATCCCGGGGGGGGGATTTCGGCTGGGGGGGGGGCACAGCAGGACCCCACTCACCTCCACTGTGAACGAGACGACAAAGGCGATCAGCAGCAGGCCAAGGAGCCAGACCCTCCACAGGGTGGGAGTGCACACCAGCTGGGGGCGGGGGAGATGGAAGTGGGTCAGAGAGGGAGGGGGCCAGAGGGGTGGGCCCTGCATCTGCGGCCTCCTGATCTTGCTCCCCCCTCTGGTCTGAGGGGCCCCTCCCCTTCCATCCGTGCCTCCTCTTGGCTAAAGACGCCCCTTGCTGCCTCCCCTGGGAAGCTACTGACCGGGTCTTTACCCCCCACCCCGCAAAGGGGCAGCCCGCCTTTTTGGCATCAGCCTGCCCCAATCTGAAGCCCTCCAGTGGACCAGACCGACTCCCATCATGCGCAGCCAACAGAGCCTCGGGTCAGAGGTTGCAAGCCATGGGATGGGGGGGTGGCCCTGGAGGGGGTTCCTGCCCACCCCTGCTTCGGCCACAGGGAGGGTCCTGGTCCTCTGGGTCCCAAGGGCAGGCCTTGGTCTCGTTCAGCCAGAAGATGGCCAGCCTGGCTGCAGGCCAAGGTTCAGGCCTGGGAAACAGCAGGCAACGGGCTGCCGGATCGCCCCCCGAGCTCCCCCTCCACAAGCCAAGTGGCATCCACGGGGGATGCCCTGAACGACGGCGTGGAGTGAGTCCGGCAGCGTGGTCACTGCTAGTGAGTCAAAGAGCCGAGCTCGCTGCTGCTCTAAGCCTCACACTGACTCTAGCACCAACTGGAGCGGGCACAAGAGGACCCCCCCCCGCCCACCTCCAGGCTGTCAGCTGAACCTTCTGCCATCAGCTGGATCCCAGAAGAGGCCCCCCATGGCCCTGCCCCGAGGCTCAGCGCAAAGCCGGCCCACCCCGGCCAGGCTAAGTGGATCTCTTGGATGGCACCCTCCCAACCCCCGAGCCAGGCCTCCCCTGCCCCCAAATCCCGCTTACATCCATCTGGGCATAGAGTTCATCTATGTTGGCAAAGAGGAAGAAGAGGCAAACTGCCAGCTGCACCGTCAAGACTGCCATGAAGATGTCTGGGGGAGGAAAGCATTGGGGGACTCAGGAAGCAGGCCGGGAAGAGGCGAAGGGCACGCGCTGGTGCCAGCAGGGAAAAGGGCAAAATGACTGAGCCAGGAGGTTCCCAGGGCCCCTCGCCTGCCCTCTGACAGTCCCTCAGGTGTTCAATCGCTCCATCCCAGACAGGGGCCTTTAAAGATGCAGATCTGAGAAGCCAGCCCAAAGGCCCGTGATGCTAACGGGGATGGGCGGGGGGGGTTAGGAAGAAGAGGCTCAGTGGAGCTTATTCCTCATGCCCATCTGCTCCAGAGAACCCCTCTCAAAGGCGGTTCTTCCTGCAATAGCCCACCCTGCCTGGGGCTGTCACTCAGAAGGAACCACCTTCCACCAGCCAAGCTGGGCAACCCATCGTCCTGCTTGGGCGACTGTGACTGGCAGCCACCCTGCAAGAGGCTGCGCTCTCACGCTGGGTCAGGGGACAGAGAGCCCCAAGGCCAGAGCTGGAACACAACCAGGCAAGCCCCAGCTCCCCTGGCCAGAAGGCAGGGTTCACCCCAAGGCCACTTCCAGATCTCTTGGCAAGGGACACTGGCCAGAGACGAAGCTGTGATGGTCCCCTTTGCAGGAGGAGTAGAGGTGCACCTCTCTGCCCCTTGCCCTGGTGGGACAAGTTGAACTTCAGAGTGGGGCCCAATGACCCCCAAGCCATCTCTCCAGACTTCTCTTGGAGGTTTTTGTTGTAGAGGCTCAAAGCGGGGGGGGGGGGGGGCCTTGTGCCCCAAACAAAACTCCTATTATCTCCTTGTTCCACTGAGCGTGAAACTGATTCTCCTCTGACATGTCAGATGCCTTCAAGAGTTTCAGACTCAGCATGTCCAAATGCATTCAGACTAAAGTGATGTGCAGCCAAGCCCAAGAGGTGGGTCTGGGGCACTTGGGTTCATCTCAATGAGTTCCATTCCTCAGGGGCTGCAGATGGGCAACCGAACCCCAGGTTGTGGCAGGTGGGAACCTGTAGTCACTCAGCCCCTGGGAAGGCTCCTCCCACCCCTTCATCTGCTTGGTGGCTCTTACAGTTTTTGTAGACCGGCTCCCTGAAGGGCTTTCCCTTGGAGAAGACCAGGGCCACCATCAGGCAGTTGACAGTGCACAGGAGCCACACGCTGGTGTTCTCGTAGCTCTGGAAGCTGTCTCTTGGCAGGGGAGCTCTGTCCCCAGGGTTGAGGCTTTTGCCCAGGCTGCTGTTGACTGGCTCCGGCAGCCCCCTGTGAGTGGTGTTCTCTGCGGAGCAGGCGCTGGAAAGACACCGGGGGCAGGGGCTGAGTTCAGCAGACCAGGCAGCTCTGCCCCACTGCTCTCAGAGAGAGACAGATCTGTTGGCTATTGCGTTGCAAGGTGGAGGAGACTTGGGGGGATCTCAAGCACACAGTCTTTGACTGTTGTTGTAACTCTTCCTGACTATTTGGGGTTGATGTTCTGTAGGTAGTTTTTAACTTACTGGGAGCCACCCAAAGCTGCATTTGTGGCCATATCAATTGCTTAAGTAAATAAATAACATCCTCCAGCTTTACGTGGGAGGCTCCCAAGCAGAAGGAGTCAGAGGCAGACCAGGCCACAGTTCTTGCAGTCAGACACCAGCCCAGCGCCTCAGAAGCAGGGCCCGAAGGTAGAGCAGCCCCACCAAACTGCAGCTTCTCGATCAATGGACATGCGGATGGAGGCTCCCTTGCACACAGAGGCTCTCTTATCATCATGAGCTGCTAAGTAAATTTCTGGGGGAGAAATTCAATTTCTTTTTTTAAAAAGCTATTGTCTGTGCTAGAAGACATCAATAAACACTCCACCTTCTGAGTAGGGAGCTAGACTGATAAAAAAATATTTGAAACCCTTTCTTTAAATCCGCAACTGTGCAAGGCTGTGTTCTCCGCCCTGTTCTTAGAAGAGCCAGGGGCAGCAATCACACAGCACAGAACCAGCTTCCAAATTAACTGATTTTCTGGGTTTTTGCTACAGACAGAAGCAGAAACGTGCTGGTGGCCTGTGTGCAAGCAGCATGCTAAGCTGCAGAAAACCCTGGGCCCAGGTTAAAGGTCGGGCACATCAGCACACCGCGCCCCTGCCACCCTGGGCTGCTCCCTGGCCTGATTCAGCCTCTCGTGGGAACCCAGCCGCTGAGCTGAGGCTGCCGAATACTCAGCCCTCCAGATTTGCCCCATTCCGCTCCACCACGAATGCCAGAACGAGGGCAGCGGAAAAGGAACTCTTGCCAAGGACTAAGCAAGGGGCATTCCAAGCAGCAGGCCCAGAAGGGCTGTCCACGGGGGCAGCCATCTTAGCCTGGCACTGCCCACGCAGCAGGGTCTGTGCCTCAGCTCTTCTGGGCCCCCTTGCCTCCCCGTGCCAGATTCCTGCATGCCCTGGGACCAGAGGGCTGGCCTACCTGTGCATGTCGCTGGGGGAGTACCAGAGCTGCTGCTGCACCAGCAGAAAGCCGCACACCTGCACGGCCAGGCTGAAAAGGAGGTTCAGCACCACGGAGAGCAGCAGCGGGGGGGCAATCAGCTGCGTGGGGGGCCGGTAGGGCACCAGCCTGGCGTAAGGCCCGTTCAGGCTCACTGCAAGAGAGGGCACGGGGCGGGGTCTGCAGCCGCAGCTCTGCCAGGTGCCTCTGGGCCAGAGCAGCTCCGCTGCAGCCTGGCTCGGGCAGAGAGCCGCAGCCCCAACTTGAATCCCACCCGAGGGCTTTGGAGAGGCAGGTGCCAGCCTGGGGGGTTGGTGTGGGAGGCGTGGGGATGTTGCTGAACGCACCCTGAATTGACCCCAGCATTTTCACCCGCACGTTCCCTCTGGGTAAATGAAGGAACGCATGCCAGCCTTCCCCTCGGCACCCTGGCTTGGGGCAGTCAGAAGGAAGCAGACCTGGAGGATCTGACCCTGAACGAGGCTCCCCTGGCCTGGGTGGGGGCAGCTTTGCCCAGAAAGAAGGGGCCTCTGCCAGGCCAAAAGGGGGCCCTTCCCTCCCGTAAGCCTTTCAGCCCCACTGCTTTGCAGAGCAGTGATGGCCCATCGGGCAGAGCCAGCCCCTCTCGCCCTCTCCTCTCCTGCAGGGCAGGTGCCCTCACCGGGTCTCCAGGGAAGACCCTGACAAGCTTTTCACATAGGCCAGTCTCTTTGCACGGCGTGGTGCGGACAGCTTACTCGTCATCCCGATGACGGTGGTGATGGCCAGGTCTTGGAAGAGGAACTGGTAATTTCCAAAGGAGTTGAGTTGCTAAAAGCAAGAAGCAGAGTTACAGTCTTGAGCCCCAGAACGCCCGGAGGCGGCCGCTCCCCCTCCCTCTCCCTCTCCCTCCCAGCCCAGACCCCCGAGGGGATGAGAGGAAAAGGGGCAGGGGCTTGGGCTTCCCCACCAGACTAGGGGCCCTGGGAGAAATCCAGCCAGCTCCTTGGAGGAACCATTGGAAAGAACAAGCACCTCTGGGGGCAGGCTCTGTGGTTCGGCACCCTCCCCACTGGCAACCTGACCTCGCTGCAACTGCTGCTTTTCTGTTGGTGGACAAAAGCTCAGTCTGAGCCAACAGCCCCTTAAGACCACCCGCCCGCGTGGCTGTTAGGAGGCACAGCTTCCAGTTGCCCAGCCCCGTGGGGTGTTATTTGGGAATGGAGGAGGAGCCCTTGCAGGGAACGGCAGGGCGTCCAGAAGAGCCGCCAGACTCAGGTCTGAAGGTCCCACGGGCGATGCTGCTGGTCGCTGCCAGGAAGACGCCTGGCTCCTGGCAGGACTAATCCCTGCGGTGCCCGCCCTGCCCCAGTTCTGGCAGGAAAAAAGGGTGCCACCGCCATACCCAGTAGAGCAGGAGGACGCCGATGTAGGTGGCGAGGCTGAAGACGGCCATGTACTTGAACATGCAGAAGGAGGTGACCAGGGCAGCCCGGCCGTGCCTGGGGAAGCGGGAGGGGGAGAGCATCAGCAAGGGGGGCCAGGCCCTGTCTGGAGAGCCCAATGTGAGGCCGGTGAGGGGGGAGGAGAAGGGGCAGTGGAACTGCTGCAGGAGAAGGGAGGGGAAAAACGGGGCGCTCCGGAGAGGCTCTCCAGCTGCCCGCCCACACCAAGCCCAGCAGCTCTTCTGTGCCCAGGGCCCAGGCTTGACTGAACTGGTGGAGCAAAGGGGGCCCTTCCTCCAACAGGCTTTTCCTGATGCACGAAGATGCACCGCTCAGCTCAAGGCTGCAAGTGCTCTGGAGGGGCCTTTCCCAGCACACACCGCAGGCAATGCCCCCCCGCCGCTTCCCTGAGAGAAAGCCCTGAAGGGGAGCCACGGCCCCTCCCCTGGATCTGGGGGCCCATCAAAAGCCCGGCTGTGCCAAAGGAGCCCCTGGTGGTTATGAGGCCGCTGCCCCTTTGGAAAAGCTGCTCCTCTGATTCAGATCCTGCTGACCCAAAGGCTTCTCTCCTTCGAGGCTCGGGGGGCAGCAGGCACCACGTCCAAGTCCCCACGGACACCGCAGGCGCAGAGCCCCAACCCAGAGCCCCAGGCTCCCCTCGGCATCCCTGCCCCATCTCTGCTTGCGCCCCACCTGATCAGCTCCGGCACGCACTCTATGGTGGGGATCTTGGACGTGAAGGGGGAAGCCACGGAGGCGTCCTGCTCAGAGAGGGAGATCCCCGCGTGGGCCTCCTTCAAGGCCTGAAAGGAGAGAAGCCGGGCTCAGAGCCAGGCCTGGGGAACCGGCGACCCGCCTGCACCCCCGCCGCAACGATTCGAAGGGCGACTCCTGGACTTCCGCTGCTCGTGCACCACTCGGGCCAACCGCAGCAAAGGAGACCAAGAAAGCGATCGGTCCCGTGATCCGTCGGGAGACCTGGGGAACCTGCCCAGCCAGTGAAAGAAAAGCTAGCCTGAACTGAAGCGCTTTGGCCAAAGCGGGTAGAGACCCCTGGCTGGATCAGCCAAGCCCCTCTGCCAGGTTCACGGGCAGGTGGAAGGAGGCTGTTCCTTGAGCTGGTTCACGATCCACCTGGGAGTTATGCTGGCAGGGGAATTCTGGGAATTGAAGTCCAGACCTCTTAGAGTGGCTGAGGCTGGGAAACCCTGCTCTAGAAACTAAGCGCTCCATCTTTGCAAGGTCCCGCTTCAGACTCTAAGGCCACCTTGGGTGCCAACGGCTGCTCTTCCCAAGGCGGAGACACCAGCTTGGCTGGCATCTTCCCTCTCTGGCTGAAGCTGAGCTCCTGGCCGGGGGCCCCGGCCCTCCTAAGGATCCTGGATGAATTTCATTTGGCCTGGAAGAGGATGCCCAAATAAACCGCTGGCTTCACTTGACTGTGGGTGGGTTGCAACTGAGCAGGGCTGCATCTTAAACAGAAAGTCCTGGGCACGGAAGGTCATCACGAGGGCCGTCTCCAGCAGCATTAGCATTAGCATCAATTCCATACCCCCTTAGAAGCACCTGCTTGATTCGGGACCTTTGAGAAAAGCTCAGCGTAATCACACGCACCCCGCCAGTCATCTCTTGCCTACTACGAATCGGTGAGGGACGTGTCGAATAAGCCTATCAAACTCCTGTTTGGCAGCCAGAGGCACGCTTCCTCTCCTTTTACTTCAGGCAGGCAGGCTGCCCACCCCATAACGTTGCCCTGATGTCCAGCAGAGCCAAGATGATGCCACAAGGCAAATGAAGGGAACTGCAGCCGCTTCATCATCTGCACGACGTGTGTGGCATCGCTTGCCCCCCCGAACCCCTTGAGTGCAGCAATGAATAACAACTGGACACCAGCAAAACTGGTAATCCGGACCCCACAGCAGAGCAGGCTCAGTCTCCTGTTATCGCCTGAACCCTGCTGCCTGCCTTAGTATGAACTGCTGGATGTTTTAGTCGCCCGCCTCTGGCTGAAACAAAGAATTTGCCCTTTTCTTGCTATCCAGAGAGGTGGGGGAGGGACCATTGCACAGAGAAAACTCGGGGGCTTTGGGGCAGCTGCTGTGAAAAGAGCAACTGGAGATTATTAGGAAACCCACCAAAATTAGAATCGCCATTGTTTTAAAGCTGTTCTACAGACCCAGAGGGTGACCACGGCGACAAGGGCCCCAACAAGAGTTCAGGCTTTCTAGCTCAAGAGAAAGAACGAGGAGGTAGCCATGGATCCCACTGCCAGAAGGGTCCGTGGCATGGAGGAAATGGGTACCCCTCCTCTCGTTGTGCCAGAACCCAGCTTGGTCCCCAAAGGGGGCAGAGGGGCCAGAGGAGGCTGAGGGTGGCCGGCGAAGGCGACACCCAGAACTCTCCCCAGATCTCTGTCCTGCAGCGCCAGACCAACTCGCACGGGCACGACTACCTGCTGCCTCAGGGCCAGAGGCTCCGTGGCCCTCTTGCTCTGCTCGCGGATCTCCCTTGGCCCAAGAACTAAGTGCTGGCCTGGCCCAGCAGGCTCTCCTGCTCTTGTGAATGGGCTGCTGCCAAGCAGTGTGTTCCAGAGAGCTGCTTGGGGCCTGGCAAAGGTGCCAAGTGTTCTTGCCTTGCTCTGAGCCTGGCAGGGGAGACTTGCCCTGAGCCTGGCAGGGGAGGGCCAGCACTGTTGGCAGAGTGAACAATTCCCGAAGCGTGCCACCATTCACGCCCACTGCTGAGAAGCACTTGAAGACTCACCCCACAGTCGTTGGCCCCATCTCCACACATGCCCACGTAGTAACTGGAAGAGAAGATAGCGCCCACCCCCTTCTGTGAGTCCTGGTGCACCCAGCAGCTCCTCTCCTTTCCACCCGGTTCCCTTTCAGGGGCCCATGGGGCCCCTCACTCACTCGAGCTGCTGGAACTGTTGCACCAGGTGGGCTTTCTGGGCAGGAGACATCCTGGCGAAGACCGTCCCATTCAGGAGCAGCTGCGGGAGAGAGCTGTCAGCTTCACAGGGGGCAGACCCATGGGGAGGACAAGGGGGCAGAGACCAAGCTGGCCGGGCAAGCCCTCCCCCCCCCCCCGGGCAGAGGCCCCCCCCCCCCCTCCCCCCTTTTCCCCCCCCCCCCTTGGCAGCCAGCTGCCGCTGAGCCTGGGGGAGACTCTCCGCCCCCCGGCTACCACCTCTGCCTTAGCGGGGGCCCCTACGAGGGCTTTTGCCACCACTTCGCGCGCC